AGATGAAATCATTTGAAACAGTTAACTTCTAGACCTAGACTTTTTATCAATAGTTTTTGACTACCAAAGGCTCTTTTTGAAACTGTAACAAAACATCAATTTTTAGTAAGAAATTTGGTTCTATAAGATTAAATTTTCTTAATTTTGTAGTAATCATAAAGAACATTTATAATTATATTTACATGCGTCGCTACTCTAACAAAAAGTCCTTTTGCTTCCGAGAGCGTTATTTAAATAACGAGGTTATGCAACCGGCGCAACTTACACGTCTAGCACGTAACATAATTCTTCCCAGCGGCAGGCGCGCGGAAGCTGCAAATTTTCCACGCGCACGCCGACTTGCAAGTATCCTAATTGAGAGCGAGAATTTTCCGGCCGCATTTTCAGTTGCTAGAAATTAGAAATATATGCGCAAGGCGTGCAGCTCAAAGTGGGGCAGAATTACAGAGTAATTAGAAGAAAAAGACTTGTTTTCGCAAGCAAGCAAGCATCTCTGGCAAACGGGACTGAAGTACATAGCGGCGTCTCATTTTGCAATCAAACTTCCATTATGGATAAGGGAGCTATTATCGTTCTTTAGTTGGTGAGTTATTTTAATTGTACTAGAATAAGCAAACAAATTAATTCAATAGCATAAACTGAAATGCAAATAAAAGCAAAATTAAATTTATGAAATGTAATTGTGTTAGAAAAAAACAATCAATTATTTATTTATTTGTTCTCTAATCAGTACATTGAAATACACAACATCTTTCATCAAGTCAATACACAAAAATGGATTAAAAATTAAAATTAATATAAAAGATACTAATTTATATGAAATTTAAAATGTTAAGAGATCTATTTTGAGGAAAAATTCCCTTTTGAAAATATTAAATCTTCAGAAAGAATTGAAACTTGCCTTTTAAAGTAAATTAAATTAACGTGATGTTTCTTCAACAAAATATTTTAAATAAATCTAAACATTAAAATTTAATTTTAATTTAAAAAAAGAATCTTTTCTATTGCTGGTGCATTTACCATACGAATACAGTGTGCTTGAGCTTCCTGCCCCGGAGCCATTAAGTTGTCTGCACAAAGTTTAGTTATTATAATACGTACCGTGAACACGCGCAGCGTACATGGTGACTCAGAGAGGACGCGCGTTTTCTTCCTCACAGCAGGCAGGCCTCGGCATAATGTGATGCAATCAGGCTGATGGTCCAGCTTAAATCTTGCCGCCGAAAATCTCGAGCAATTCCGCAAACTTGAATATACATACGGATAACTCGATCTGCCCAAAAACGCGACGGCACAAAACTTTTCCGCCTGCTTAAGTACATAGGCAAAAAGTTACCAAGGTCTTAACTTTTGGCCTGGATATTGCTCATAATTTTTTCTAGGGAGAAGAAAATGTAAGAATTTATCCTCCAAAATTCTGTTTACAAAATATTCCAGTCAAAACATCTTCAGTCGATGTTTGAAACATAATCATTATTATTAAAAAAAGAGGATAAATTATCTCACTTTACCTTTGGAAGAATATTTTAAAATCATAAAGTCCTTCACAAGTTTAAATAATTATGATAAATTAATAAGAATGATATGATAAAATCACCTGCAAATCCTAGAAAATCGATAAATAAGAAATTTTAAGAAGAATCCTGTTGTAAATCTCTTTTTTTTCAGAATGGCAATTTCGCAAGGGTCAATTTTTAGAAAATGATCTTAAAATGTAAAAAATCTCAATAATTTATTCATAATACCATATTCTGCAAAGTAATCAGTGCCCTTGCGGAAGCTCAACTAGTTTTATAATTTCGGTTTCAACACCTGCAGTGCACCCCCAACAACATTTCATTTCGCACTCTGGGAGCGAAAGGGGCGTTTTATTCATTAGCGGCGCTTTATTCTCTTCGCGCTCTCTCGGTCTCATTACAATTACAATTAATTTATGGCTTCGCTCGCGCATTCCTGGCCAAGATTATTTTGCGGCGTTCCTTGCAGGGTTTCGGCAGAGCACGCGATAAATAACGCCGTCCATTGTTTTGCATGCAAATAGCGGCGTCGGGCGTATAAATATTGCCCCTTTCTCTCTCGCTCGCTCCGTCCAAAGCAGCCGGCCGTGATTTCTGCAAAAAGTGCCACCCTTTCCTTGTTCGTAATTCCAGACGACCAGGCAGATCTCCGCCGTCGCAGGAAACGCACGCCCTCTCTTCGAAATTTAATTAAAACCTCTCGCCGCGCTGATATTGGATAAGTGGGGGAGGAAATATTTGTTTTTATCATTTTTATCAGTCTCTTCCCAAATTGTATAAATATTTTTTCTAATCTTTCATTTGATTGCATTTCCTTATTTATTTGTCAATTTTTTAGAGACTAAATTAATTAAATAGTAGCTATTTAACATAAATTGTGATTACTAAAAAAAGGTCATTTAGGCTTTTTCATGTTCATATCTGATTTTACAAGATTATTGATATATTGCTGTTCTGAAAAGTATTTATTTTTGGAAAACTTATCACTACAAATAAGTTACAGTTTAGAAAATAAAGCAATTTTATTGTTTTTAAAATAATATTAATTATAAACATAAGTAATAAAATGACTTAAAAATTTTAAATAATGAATAATGCAAATTATTTACAATTAAGTTTTTTAACTTATTTAAACATTATTTAAAATGAAAAAAAAAATTGTATTTATTTAATATAGTCTAAAAAATTAGCTTTAAAATCCATCAAGGTTTCCGAAAGTCTTGGAAATAATTATATACACATAGATCTTTGGAAATTCGTTAATTTTTCACTTTATTGGTTATTTGATTGTACTAAAAAATTATCGTTCTCCGGTGTCCGATTCTATTTAAACAAAATTTATTTATATGCATGATTTTAAACCAATTTTCTATGTTAAAAACCTCTATTACAATATCATTTCATTAAGGATAATTTTACATCAAACATGATATAACAATGACCTCTTCAAACATAAAATCCTAGTGTACTTTGGCAAGCTTTGGATTCTGGGATATCAATTTATATTAATACAAAAGCCTCTCTTGCTTGCCTGACCTGCCGGCCTTGCAGCGTGTAATTTTTCACGATCTATTCATTCCGCTCGCTGCTTGGCTCGTGTTGTTCTCGACTATTATCTATTATTCCCGTCGGCAGTCCGCAAATCACGATGCATTAACGTTTCTTGGCACCGCCAACGCAAAGGCAGCAAGAAAAGGCGCAGCGTTATTATTTTTATTGTTATGGCGGCTTATATAAACAAAGGCCGCAAACAATTACGCCGAGGATGCATCTTTCTGCCATCTTATCCGCGCGAACTGGAGCGGAAAATTTACACTGCTCTCTGGCTCGGCAGCTTCTCTAATTCTCGCCTGCTGGGTGCAATAAGGTGCCGTGTCGCGTGGGGTTGCGGCCCTATAGCTGCACCAGCAATTTGCCGCTGACTCGAGACTTCTTCCTTTTTTAATTAGTGCACGGGGTCGACGAGGTCGAGCCATGAATTAAAACTCTCACTGCTTCGGGGAGACATGAGCAGTTGGAAACCTAAAAGATTGTGAGAAAAATTTCAACTCAATTCCTCGAATTATAAAAATCACTGCTTGTTAATTGTCAATCAATAAAAATTGAGAAATTAAAACCGGGTGAACCTCATTGTAATGAATAAATAAAAGATAAAAGTACATTTTTCGTGTCCAACAAATACTAACAGTGGAAGATTAGCAGATGTGGTCTAAATTGGCAGAAAAAGTGGTACGGCAAGTTATTTTCAATTTTTCCAGTAAGATTTTCACCTGGAAATTTCTGCAAAACTCACAGTATGACTTCTATGATTAAATAAATTTCTGCATTTATTTTTTGTTGATTTAAATTTGCTCAATTTCATTCATAATTTTTTTTTCTTTTTGAATTCCTCCTACTTATTGTTAGTTTTTTGTTTGGAAACGAGGGAACAATAGATTTTTAAAGTACCAGCAGACCGCAGATCGACGTTGAGGCCAGTTTTCATTTTATTTATCTTTGCAACGAAGTAATTCACCCGATTCATGAAATTCACGTCGAGTGTAAGCATTCAATAAAAAATGTATCTTAATTTTTCAATTTGTAAAAGGGGAATTTAACATTTTATAATTGAATTTATTTTATTTAGAGTGAGACAGCTGACATTCGATGGCTCTTTGAAAAATATTTAATCAAAAACCTTCTAAATAATGGAGGATTTAGTCGATAATAAAATTTTCAAGAATGTAATCATAAAAGTATCTCTAAAATTTGCAAAATACAAACTTCATGTAGCAAATAATTTGTACATATTGCAAGTAAAATCAAATAAACAAAATTTTATTTTATTTAAATAGTGTAAATTTTTTTGTGGTTTTGAAATAATTAAAAAGAAAAATAATTTTGTTTTACTTATTTTTAGATTTAACTTTCTTTATCATACATTGTCTCATTGTCAGATTGGTGGTTGTTGCAATTTTATTTTTGAATTTTTAAATTTATACATATATAAAAAGGTGTTGCCTTCAATAGTTATCATATTCTAATTAAACAAAATTTCTGACACTGGTATAGTACAATAATTTGTAAAAATGGAACATCATTATTTTTTATTAGCAATTATCTTAAAAGGGAAATTAAAAATTGTTCAAAATGTAACAAGCCCCATAATAGAGCCCAGTGGAAATGAAACGGTTTTGTCGTTTTTGTTTTCTTAAATTGCTTCTAGAATTCATTGTGACAGAGGATCTTTTGAAATTATATCATTTAATTATTGTAGGATTATTTATTCAATGGAGTATGTTATCACCATGGCGGTCGTTTCTCTTTTGATAATATGGGGCTTGTTAACATAGATCTTTTTTTTATCTTTTCAGTTTTCACCTTCCATTTTTGTATCGATCGAGGAGAAATAATAATAAAAATCTTACGCCTGATATGAAATTAAAATTAACCTTGGTCATTTACTTACAATCCAAACTAAAGTTCCTTCGCTTATTGTTTCAGACGACGGCGACCCGCCTGTCCCGCAGACCAAGGACGGCTATCTCAATTTCACGGCCATCAGCAGGGAACACATCGGCTGGTACAAGTGCTCGGCCGAGCACGTGCTGGGAACTTTTGCATCCAGCGGCTACTATCTCAACGTCCGATGTAAGTAGGCAGACAGACGATCATTTCGCCCGAAAAACGAGGCGCCTTTTGCAATTGGAGAACATTCCAAATGGACTCTCGGTGATTATGTTACACAAACTGACAACGCCAGAGGCCCTTGCTTCTTTTCTTTTCCTGCTTCTGTGTTATTGGAGAACGCGCGCGTCACGGATATTACCATCAAAGCTAACGAGCTGCTCCACTCGTGTGTGTGTGTTTTGCAGGTTGCGTGCCAACTCGCTCGCAGGCAATTCGCAGAATTGACCTAATAGAAAACGGCCTCTAATTAAAAATTGACCGACCTTTCAACCACCGTTATTTGCTTTCGAGTGCCCATTTAACAAATCTCTTTGCTGAATTATCCGTCTAAACTAAATTAAACACTTTTATCTGCAAAATAGTTTCAATCAAACTGTACAAATTTACACGCCGAGTTTGATCAATTAATCTGTTTTTGAGATAATCAAATTTAGTCGGATATAAAAATTGAATTAGCAATTCGAAAACTGCAAATATTTTATGTTCCAAAAAAATATTAGTAATTAATGGTTTAATCAAAACTTAGCTTTTTTAACTTACATTTTTAAAAATCATATTGAGTCATTAATATAATTTGTTATGCAAAAATGAGAAAGAATATTCTTCATCACATCTAATTTTGGCAACCATATAATTTGTGAGCTTTTTATTTCATATTTTCTAAATGAAAGTAATATTTGATGTTAACAAAACCATAAAATCGCAAAACTAATAAATCAGGATCAATCAAATCATGCTAAAAAATTATAATTGCGTTCCTTTATTTTTCAGATGACGAAATTTTGACCAAGCAGCCTCCGCGCCAAATCGAGGTTGCTCTGGGTGGAGGCGTGACTTTGGAGTGCGGGGCGAGCGGGTTGAGCACTTCTGGGCCCAACTGCTGGGGTCGATTGAGTGGCAACCGACTCGAGGCTGTCGGGGCAGGACCCCAGCTGCGACTGGACAGCGTCTTGTACCAAGAGGCCGGGGCCTACAGGTGCGTCGCCCCGGCCAAACCGGACCCTCTTCTGGTCGAGCGAAAAGCGATGCTGCCGTCGCCACCAGACATTGAAGTTGTCGTCACAGGTAAATTAACTAAAAGTTACGTTTTAAAATTCAAAATCTCCAATGAAAATATCTTTAGTCTTCAGTTTTGAAAATAATTTCTGTTATTAACTTATACACGAATATATATTTAATTTGCTGGCAAAAGTTTTATAAGCTAGAAAAAAATTTAAGTCCATGAATATCAAAAACTTATTGGACAAATTAAATAAAAATGCATATTTTAAATCAGAATAACACGTTTTGTGAGGATCCGACAGAAAATTGAATTTTGTAGAATGAAATTATGAAGAAAAATAATTGAGAATGCTTTTTTTCATCATAATAAAAAGTGTAGGAGAAAGATTTTCAAAAATTCATTACTCTGCGTTGTTAAGACTTATAGACCCAGCCTGGGTAGGAGACATTCCGAAAGAGTTCCAATTTAGCGAGGAATTAACGTCAGTAATGATAACAGACACCCGGAAGAGCCCCTAATATCAAGTGAAAAACTTTGCCACTCTCGTCAGAGCAATTTTGTCTGCGAAACACTCCCTGGCCCTTCTCGCCTGAGCCCTCTCGGTGGAGAATTAGTCTTTCTCTTTTAAAAGTTATTTCGGCCGCCTCAACTTTTTCTTTCACTCACGCCAAGCCTGTCACTTACGGGCCGGCCATTGCTTGACTGATGGCCCGGATAAAACAATAATAATCCATCACCTGCCCTCTGTCGACCGCCCCCGACCCACCGGCCATGTTTTCGCAATTAATTATCCGCGCGGTCTCTCATGACAGACGCGCGTGCTGATTAAAATTCCACCTCACTGACCGTGCATGCCAATTGTTTTGCAGGTCAGCCCGTGGTGTACCCGATCATGAGGAATTTGACTGCTGTCGGTGGCAGCCAGTTGTCGCTCTCGGTCGAGTTCTGCGCAAATCCCGAGGCCACGCACACTTTCTGGCTCACGCAGACCGTCGTCCTCAGACCGGGACAGGAAGGAGGAGGATACATCGCCCAAAACGTCACGGTCAGTACATTTTTTTTTTGCCTAAAAATTAAGAAAAGAAAAACATGAAAAATTTGAACTTTTTTTTAATTAATAGTGGAATGTGCGTTTCTTTAAAAAATCTTGTGTCTCGGAATGTAATTCCACGTAAAAGTGATAAATAAGTCTATGTTACTAATTAGTTATTGCCCCTTTTAAGTGGTTCTTGAGGGTTTAGATTCATTTTTTTAAGTTGCTTTCGTCTATAAAATCCAACATTATGTACAAACCTGACAAGCTCCCAAACGTTATTATAGATTGAAAGAAATTTTCATAGCTTTCAAAGCAATTCGTTTTTAAACCAAAGATTTTATTTATTTTGAGTAGCCATCTATTGGCTACAATTGTGTGATTTTTTGTCAAAACGTTCTTCTTGTAAAGCCTCCATCATTTGAGGAAACATTTGGAATTTTAATGTGTTTTTATTTATTATTACCAAAATTCTTATCAATCAGATTAATCGCAAAATATTTTGATCCTATCCAATTTTGTTGGCATTTTCAATTATTAGATATTGAAATTAATTCAATATGAATATGATTGGAATTTCATATCAGCGGTATCAAATTTCTACTTGGGTTATGAACAAAATTATAATGAAATATCAACATAAATGCAAATCATTTGCACATGAATTTATAGTTGTTGGTTAAATGTTAATAACATATCATGTTACTTTAAATGTTTATTGGAATTTTAAGACCGATTTTAATGTGGATTACTGAAAACGTGCGAGAGAGATACACAAACAATAGGTTTGTCATTGCACACTGTGATTGTGTTTGTCCTTTTATATAAACTAATACCAGTGTGTTTCAAAAGCTTAATCTACACAGATCAATTGTCAATTTAAGTTAACAACAATGTATTATTTTGCAATAGTCAAGATTTAAGCAGACAATTTTCGAATTAATCCAATTATTGAAAAATTATTTAAATCTGTTTGAATAGTAATTATAGCCATTTTTTCCAAGGAAAGCAATTTGATATTTTAGCCACCATCATCGTGTCCATTAATCTAAAAACTTAATTTGACTTAATTGATATAATAGATAAGAAAAGCAGCATAAAAATCGTTTAAAAAAATTTGCAGAACTTTTGTATTAAAAAATTATTTATAAAGTACAGCACGCATTAAATTTAAAATTTGTAAAAGCCAAACCCAAGCACATCAGTCACAGAGTTATTTGAATTTGGCAGCACCAAAATGAAACCAACTTGGTTCTATGACACATTTTATATTAGGCTGCAAGATTTAGATTACATCAAATCCCCGTGGAAATATATTCAACATAAAGAGTATAAAAGGTGTTTTCTTTTTTATATGAATCTCTAGTGGAAATGCAGCCGTCCTGACTTACCTCAGTTACCTCAATGTTTTTAAAACAGTAAGAAACAAGGACCAAGGATCTTTTTTGAAGAAGATTCAGATAAATTGCATAAATATCAAGTCCACACATATAATCTTCCCAACATTTTGTTGGAAGCATCACAATCCAAATGCTTTTAGATGGGAACCACTGCATTTGCTTGAAAATGTGAAAACTTATTTCTTATTTCTAAGTTATTACACAATGAAATAAGGAATCAGTTTCATGCGTATCAGTTAGAACTGATACCAAATATATTGTTGTGACTTATTTGAAATCATTCAATTGCTTCAAAGCCAATTCCAATTGTACGGAATTCATTTCGACATTTACGATCTTTTGAGAAATCTTGAGGCAAACGGCTTCCGTCAGCCAGGTTAATGCTCAAAAGGACTTTGAATCTTTCATTATCGGTCATTAACTGAGCACAGTCTAAGGTGCATAGTTCTGCAAATTCTTCACATTTCATTGTCATGAAGCGGATACATTTTAAAGCGTCGTGTGTCTTTGCTCTGATGGCGTCTACATCAGTAATGTTGTCACCTGTGACGCCATCAGCAGCTCCCCAAGCAAACAGAGCCTTAAAGAGCTCCGTCTCAGATTCTACTTCCAGACACTCTAATTGAAGGATGTCCAGGATTGTGGACAAAGATGTTTTCAACCAAGCAGCTGATTTCAGAACTTTGCTTGCATTCAAAGCAATGATCTGCAAAATTAAAAACAAACATAATTTGCTGAAAAACTTTGTTTCACGCATTGAAATACCGAGAGAAGTTTTTCAGAGTGAGAGTGATCATTACAGGCTTTATACATGTCAAGCACTGTAATAGCGTCTTCAGAGCTTGGATATTTTAGAAATTCTGAAGCAACTTTCATTAAGCTGTTTATTAGCCAATGATGAGATATTCTGTAAACTTTGCAGGCTGTTGCTACATCTTCAAAGTCAGTTTTACCACCATAGATGTATCTGAAATTTTAATTTGTAGAAGATGTGGAATATAAACAACTTTTCATGCTGAATAAAAAGGAAACACCAACCTCATGACAAGATCAAAAGTATGTGCTTCAACATTAGTAATTTTGATAGGGTCATCCTTATCTTTTGACGACTCACTGAAGTCTCCATACAGCATTTTAGCAAAGACAATGCTTGCTCTGGCAAGTATCACCTTGTGGCAGTGAAATACCTTTTTGCAAAAATTAAAAAATATTATACTTATTTTTTATTCATTATAAATACTTTATATATTCCAGACATTTTTGGAAATTTTATATTTAAAATTGATATTTAAATGTTGTAATTTAACTATTTCAAAATTCAATTAATTTTAATCATCGCTTAATTTGCTGTAAACGAACCTTACGTAAAAAATTCTAAAGAAATAAACCTTTGGTGTTGTTTCTTGATAGGCAACTTGAAAAGTACAATCGTAATAGTGGCCTCCTTCGTATAGGGCCAGTTGATCATTCAGAATTTCACCCGTCCTTTGCAACGAATCAAGAGAGGATGGATCAACATTTCTTTTGGAAGCCATGGCTTTGATCACTGCCCGTTGAATGCCTAATATTACAAAATTTTATTTAATTTTTTTTTCATAATGAAAACGTGTGCAATTAATAAATTAAGTTCAACGGCAACGTGCATATTTTTATTTGCATAGAGAATAGAGAATATAATCTCACTGTTCACACTGCGTAAATTTTGTATGGATGCGGATGCGATATGAAATTGGGTTTTAATTGGGACCTGGCGACCCTGGAGTCTCTCACTGCTGGCAATTGTGTTTTATGATTAACTCTTTTTTCGATTTGCCTATCCTGTATATAAATCTACAAAAATTAAAGTAAATCAAATTATAGTGTGAAATTTTGAATAATTTTTAGTACGCTGACCTCTGAGCTGGTTGGCGGTTGTGCGTTGTGTGTTGTAGGTTGACAAAAAAGCAGTGTCCAATATAACCTAGAGAAATTTTCAAAATCTTTTCATAAAGTAAAAAGTCCTCTTATCTGCTCTATATAATTAACATATTGGTAGGTCTAAGACAACCCAGAGATAATAAAAATTGCGCGTTGCACGCGTCAGAGTTGCCGATTGCTACAACTATCTTATCTCTGCTCGGCAATCTCTCAAGTGGCTGATGATGATGAATTGAGTTGAAGACGAGTGACACGTGCATGTTTTTTTAGAAAATTGGGAAAGCCAGAAAGAAAATGATATACCTATGATCTGTGTCTTGATGTCTTCTCGCTATAACAAACAATATCTCTATGCAGCTCAATCAATGGCAATGTTAACAAGAAAAAAGAATTGTCAAATTTTAACAAAAATTAAATATCTTCATCATATATTTTATCTATATTTTTTTGAAATAACAATTAAAAAACTAAATAAAAAAAAATACAATGAATGGCAACCTATATTGGCAATAAACACATCATTGTTACATTAGCATTAATTTTTTTTATAATTAAATAGCTAGTACATAAAATATTAATATTTCCTAATAAACAAGAAAATAATTTTTTATTAATTTTTGCAGAAAATAAAATTAATTAATGCACAAAAATTAATTTTTCTACTGCAGCACAACAATAGTTGGAGCTTATCCAGTCTTTTGGATCACCCTTGGCCTTCAGTAATTCTAAATAATATAAAACCAACCCAGCAGGCCGAATTTCGTTTGACACACAAGCAGATCCCTAAAAAAAGCTTGCAAATACCATTGAATTTGTGTTTGTTTCAGTTCGGTTCGCTTGGATAAATTTTCCAATTTTAAATCAAAACCGGTCAAGCCAGACTAGAATATTCAAATAAATATAAATACACCAACATTCAAAAGGGAATAAGTTTTGAACAGGCGCAAATAAATGCGCGTGGTGCGCTGAATATATCGTTTATCGGTTTTGCGGTTTTGCGAAATGAGCTTCGGCGGCGTCAGTCGTCATCCGCCGCCGCCGATGTCGTCAACAAATTTATGCACGAGTGTGTTTTGCGTTTATGTATGCATGGCGGCGCGCTCTCTTTCGGAATAATGATTAGGGCGCGGCGCAGAACTGCACACGGCGGTGGATAGATTTCCCTGAAGACGCGGCAGTCGTCCTCGCAAAGGGGAAGCCGCGCTTGATCCCGATATCACCAGAGAATATCCAATAATGCCCGAGTTCGAAAGGCATGCGTTGCATCCCAAATCGCTTCTCTCTCTCTCTTTCGCCGGCAAATAAATATTTATTGTTTGCATTTTACTTTTTTTCCATTTTGTACATATATCGGGAAAAAAGCGAAATTATCCTCGGGGACGATTTCAGCTCACAAATTCCACTTTGATTTCCAGCAAGGATTTTCTCACCAGCCGCTCGTAAAATTTTATCTCGCCCAAATCCGCTTATTGGAGTTTTATTTTAGTGCGTTTCCGATTCGTTCTATTTTTACAGCCGCCCAGATTGATTTTCAACACGCTCGGCAAGTTCAGTTTCGACAAATAAAAATGAGCGCTGGTTTTCCATTATAAATTTGTTTGGCGACCGAAAAGTGAAACGCGCGCGTGCACGTGAATTTGCGTCCATTGTGCATAAATTGGCCGGTCAAAGCGAGCGGCCAGTTGTGAAACGAACGCAACAATCCGTGATCACGCAACTTGTGTGCGCCCTTTTATGTCGCGAAACAATGAATTACAACTTATACAGCGATCAACAAATTCATAATGTCAACACGAACGCGCAGTTTGTGCCACTAGGGAGGGCCAAATGATAAAATTCGTCAATCAAAATAAAAAAACCCTGCTGGCGTGTTTTGTTAGAAAAAAATCCAGCGTTTGCTTACTCGCCCGTGTGTTTGTTCCATATTTTTACATCAAATATTAGCATACACTCGCGGTCTCGTCATACGCATGAGTCTCACGGGACTTTGCGTTCTCCCTTTGGCGAATTTTACGAAGTCAAGGGAGTGGAAGGGAAGATGTCCGAGACTTATACAAACACCACCGAATTCAAATCTCGGAATATTTGCTCAAGTAAAAAAATATCATTCAAGTAAAAAATTCCATTTGCTCCAATTTAAAACTTTTTAATTTAAATTTCGTTTTTTAGTAAAATTAATTTGTTTTTTCCGAGAGGTAAAAGTTAGAATTTCCGACTTCATTTAAATCACACAATGTTAAAGAAAATCAGTTGAAGACTTTAATTTTCATGTTGTTTATCTGTCCAAATGGTTACTGGAATATTAAATTGTGTAATAAGTAATAAGCAATCATTTGGGAGAGGTAGGAAGATAGAATTGTTGGCCAAGATATAATAAAATGAGTTGAAAAATTAATGAAATTAGATAACATCAAACTTCTATTGTAAAATTTTATACAATTTTCCAAGTTTTTTGTCAATGTTGGAATTAATTATTAATTATTAATAATTTTATAAATTAAATATGTGTATTTCCTTTTCATTTAGCAGATACATTTAGTGAATGTAAAAAAAACTTCATTAAAATTAAATCTGTTTAGCATTTTCAAAGCTTCTAGCAAAGTGATTTTGGATTTAAATTGCAGGAGGATGAAATTAGTATAGCAAAATTAATTTAAATTAATAATCGCTGAAATATATTCAAAAGATCAAACTTCGTGTACTGTTAACCTTTAAATCCGCATTTATAATATCATGATCTTTTGAAAGATCGGTTTGAATAGCCCTCGCCATTAATCCGATTGTGAGGATATTTAAAGAGTCCTTACCCCCTTTCATCGAATTTTCGCGAGAGTTGAAGGAAAAAGTCGTCGCTCGAGAGCGCTCTGGCAAATAAATTACCCCGCCGGAGATAATCATCCAAATACCTCGGCGGCGGAAAAAGTCTAGCACGAGAGAAAAAGAGCTCTCCACTTTCATTCCTCTAATTAAAGAAATAAAAAATGAGAGTGACAGATTTATGGGCCGATTAAGCCTCGCAATTTATATCGGCAAAGGGCAGCGCGAAAAAGATGCAGAAGTCCGCCCAGAATTTTTTGCAATTTCTCTCCTTGCTTTCATGATTTATTCGGAGCTCGCCGACCGCTCATTTGCATTCCGCGCTGGTAATTAATTTTAATTAGAGTCGCAGCGCCGCGGTGTTTTTTTGTCGTATCTGAATTTCAAAGCGACGACAGCTTTATTACGACCACGATTTACATGTCCTGCTTGAAATTCTGACACCTTCGCTCTTGTGCAGTAGGAACATGATTAACGAGGGAATCCTCCAAAAGCTTTTTTTAAGTTTCTTTCTTTTCCTAATCCTTAATTTAAGATTTATTCATTATTCCAACATCGTCTGCATCACAACTTTAAATAGGCAACCTGCTTGACACGGTTACCAAGGCTCTTAAAAATGCATTTTTTTTTATTTAATTTGCGCTCTCATCAAAAAATTTCAAAGTTGTTAAATATTATTCAAGACCAGTTGCAACACGCGATTCGTCTTTTGATGGTTAAATGAAAATTTCCTTGTTTACATAAAAAAATAATCAAACTGTACAGAAGAGGAAATAGAGTGAGCAGAATCAACGGCTGAGTAGTTTGGTTTGCGAGTTGAGCTGCTCAGGTCGACTCGACTCAACTCACTTCTTTTGCTGCATTTGAATTATCTCTGCGGTATCAGAAAGAGTAAAAGGAATGAAATAAATCAATAAACTAAAAATTTATGAAAAATTTACATCTAATTATGATATTAAATAATCTGAATCTTTTTTCAAAAATTATTAATTAAATGCGCATGGTAAGATTTTTAATTTGCTCTATATGCTTCTAATTAAAATTTTTTTATTTGGATAATGATATGATTATAGCGTAGTTGGGAATATTTTTATAAAAATTTAGACGTGAAACGGAAAATGGAAATTTAATTTTTATTTTCCACGATTTCAAAACTGAATTTTTATAAATTCTACTGGGGCACGCAGAAAAAACTGCTTTTTGTCTTTCGTTGTTCTGGCTTTTGAAAATATTTTAACAAGCGGCCTGTCAACTTACATAAATTTTGCTTAATTAAATCTGAATTAAGATTAAATATCATATACCGCCTGAAATATAGAAAGCAAAGTAACTAATCTTGTATTTGTTGATACGCAGAACCAATTTTTGTTAAAACAAAAAAAAATCGATTGTAATAGATTCTAAATAATAACTATGAAGAAAAAAATAATTTATTGGAAGTGTAAAATTTCGGCAAGCAGATCTACTCAAAATCTGCTCGTGAGTCGCTCACAGGGAGCGATCAGTGAGGGTGGGCGACGATTTCTCAAAATCAGTCACTGTGTTTATTCATTATTTTATAGAATTTGTCTGCAAAAATGAAAATCAGATGATATCAAATGTCAGCGAGAAGTATGAAAAGGTTTAATGGAACTTTCTGCCACCCACGAGAAGGAAAACAGCCGGCGCACAAAAATAGCGAGACGTACGACAAATATGGGGCTCGCTCTCAACATTTTCCGCCTCCTTATTGACTCACAAAATTAAGTAACCTACGCTCTCGGCCCACTTCGAAAGAGTTTACGCTCTAAGCAAATATTTTCCCTGGGTGCGCATTTAGCTGCTGGCTGGGCTGAAAGAGGCCCGAAATGAAAATGGAAAATCCAATTTAATCATCTGTGCTCGGTCTCAAGTCTTCCTGCTTCTTACGGCAGCTTTCTCTCTTGCTCTGGTAATTTTATTTGCAGCTTCTGCTGACGCACAAGACAAGTTCCACGTGAGGCCAATTTCTTTGCCTTCCGGGCCGCTCGGAAGGCCCGCCCGAGAGAGTGATATCGCGCATTGTCTGTCAGACGGACACGCTCTTTCGGGGGGCCTGCCTAGTTGGCAGCTCCTCTTTTCCACCACACACACGCAACCAACTCGAACTTGTTACTTGACCCCAAATTGGCATCTCTGCTCGATTGATGCGATCGGACACGAAGCAACCATGCTTCCTGCCAATTCCAAGAGACGTCCATGTCTGTTCTTATATGTTTTCTTTTACTCAAAGGGTTAAGTTCTTCTAGCAAATTCATGTCCAAGTTTTAACATACTTATTTTATAAACATCAATTTTTTAATATAAACACTTTAAATAATAATCATATTATAAATTAAATTTTTATTGCAAAATAAAATTTGAAGTATTTTGAGCAATAATTAATTAAAATAATTTTTAATTTAATTGATTTAAAATCTTTAATTGGACAAAACTAAATTCTTTTTTACAATACATTGCAAAATTTCGTAATGTGCGACGCATAATCGAATCTAAAACTATTTTATTTATAAATACACCTATCATTTCATGACAAATTATAGTTACTGAAGTTATATCATGTTCGTGTGTCTTCTTTGATTAGTAGCAAGCAATTTTATACAGTGGGATTAATAATGTTAATGTTTCAACCATTTACACGTGGAAGTTTTCCTTACGCCAGCTGTTTTCTGCGTTTTCAAATATTCTCAGCCACAGCTTGAGCACGTTTATTTATTTTTCAGAGAAATCGATGAAAAATAATTAACCTTTTACATTACATCCTATTTTAATAATTACAATTAACTTTGTAGTCAAAGAACAATTTGGACAAATAAACAACAATAAAAAAGATGCAGCTCAAATTTATTCCCCACAGCAGCAAAAGATGAGTTAATTAAGAAACCCTGATTTTAATTTCTGCTCCAATTCATTGTCTATTAGTTTAGTTTGAATTTGCCAATCAAAACAATATAATTTTTTAAACCTAATTGCAACAATTAATAATGATGAAGATGCGAGCCCCCAAAAACGCACACTAATTATGAAGATGTGGAAAGTAGGATTTCCTAGTGCCAAATAAATTGGGGAGGAAATTATTGAAAGAATCTTATAATACGTCAATTTTTTTAAGGTTAAGCCCAAGTAAAATTTTCTCATGAAATTTGCCTTGCCTAAATTTTGATATTTTTAATTTAAAAAATTCTTAATCTCAAATATTCGTTTCTCGTTAGAGCTTTCAGATGTAAAAATTTAAAAATTGTCCGTTTAAAATTCCCGTCAGCTTTTTTATGCCAAAAGCAATCACGCGCTGATCACATTCAACTCCCCCAAGTATTTTTCCTCCCGTCGTCAATTTGACTTTCATTCTCAGGGGGGCGCTTTTCGCGACTTTCGCTCAAAAGTTGCTTGGAGAAGGAGAGAAAAATTAAGACCAAATCGATCGAATTGCAAAGCTTGCTTGTGTGGTCTGGCGGAGACAAAGGCGTCTCGGGGAATGCATTTCACGCGCTTTGATCGAGTTTCAACTTCACACGTCTCTCACGTTCGCCTAATCTCGTTTGCACTTCGCCCGACGGTTCCTTTGCCCTCTTTTCGGAGGCAGAAAGAAATGTGGGCCAACAGCCCTTCCTTTCCTTTGCTTGACGGAAACACGCGTCGAATAATTTTTAATTCCTGTCCAATAAAACTCTTATCTAATTCCAATCCTTGCAAGCGAGAGACGCTCTCGGCCTAAGGCGGCCTGTTATTCTGACAGCTGAATTGGATTAAACTGATCAAACCCTTCTCCATTGCCACACTCAGTCTCTTGTGTCAAAGCGACAAATAGTCAAACACTGCACCAAACAAGAGTGCCTTTGTCAAATTTCAAGCTTGTCCCGCGACGCGAATAAATTGAATAATTCATCAGAGAAGTGAAATTTACTGCTGCTTTTGGAAAGGTGCAGATATCTGCTCTTTACATATATACGCATGTTGAGTTTAATTTAAATTGCTGGTGAAATTGGTTGAGCTTCACTCCGTCAATATGGTTAGTGGAAGTTGGAGCGCGGATTGCAATTTGCAATTCCCTGTGCTTATGTGAGATTGGATTTCTCGGTGTTGATTAATTGCACGTCGCAGTCAGAAACCTTTGATTGATAATTAATGTGGCTTAGGAAATGCTTATTTAAACTCGTTCTGATTTCAATTATAAAATAATTTTTAAATATTACAAGAATGATTCTTTCATAGCAATAAATACAAATTCTGATATCATTGTTGTGTGGATTAGAGAAAAGTTTGATTTTATTAATTTCATTTTAACCAAAATTTAAAAAAAGGACCTTGTTAAATGTTTTAATTTTTTTGAAGTTATCAATTTTTGACGAATTGGGCTTAAATTTTGAATGCTGAAAGTGAAAATTACTGAAAATTATACTATTGTATTTGGAAATTATTTACAATTACTTTTAGAGCAAGGTCTGCGATGTTTTTTAATTTACATCACGAACTTGTGCTTTCCAGTCATCTAAATTTCTTCTATTATCATCCAATAGAAGGCTTTTATAGCATTACCATTATGTTAAATGCAATTTGATATTTCAGTTTTTCAGGGAATAATATATTAAGAGCAACCACCGTAGATCAAAAAACAAATTTCAATTTACATATCTTCTTTCAATGCCACAGACAATATATATATATTTTTTTTGAATTTCATATAATTTGATTTTTATTGTCAGCTCTATTTACCAAAGTATGTTTGTATATTTTTTTATTATAAATAAATAAAAAAAAATATAATTATATTAAAATTAAATCAAATATAAATTTAAATGTTTTATGTTATTAAATTTAAATAAAGATCTTTTCTTGTGTGGAACAAATAATTTAAAAAATAATATAACCTTCTTTAATTATTTAACAAGCTAATTTTTGATTTAATAAAATAGGGCTGTAGTTAGTAGCTGAAATTATAGTCTACTGTTTTTCCTCTCAAATAAAAATACTTCTTTTTGCTTCATTTAAGTTCCAAAAGAGATTTATTCCTGATTAATTAAATTAATTAAAAATTTGACGTTTGTTTCAGGAGGGTGACTCGGCGCACTGCAGACGGGCAGCGCTGACCATCCCCGAGGTGTTGCCAGAACACGCGGGCGAATACCTGTTCATCGTACGCAGCCCCCGCGGAATGGCAGACGGCGCGGTGCGCCTAAACGTGTCCCGCGGCTCGTACACGCCCAAACGCACCTGGTCCAGCCCGGTGGTGATCGTGGCCGCCGCACCGCCGGCCAGACCAGTGCAGGAAGAGGCGGCCGCGGCCGTCGTTCCTCCGAGAGACGTGCACGACGAGCCGCCTCCGAAGGTGTCCGTCGCCCCCGCCTCCAGTGGAGGCGGCAGAATCGTCGCCACCTCACTTGTTTTGTTCACGACGAGACTCTTGCAATTAGTGTGACAATTTCGAGTGTTTCCAGGTTGTTAAAATTGTGAAAGAAAAGTGAAAATGAGAGGAGAATTTAATAATAAATTAATCCAGCCGATGTTTGGTGCCCTCCGGTGTTTGTCCCTCCTTAAAGGGCCTCTCCAGTTACATATTTGTTTATTGTAGAATTTGCAAAAAGAAAAAAATATATTTGACTCTAAATCGCGATAAAAAAACCTTTATATTCCTAAGGGTTGAAACGGGCTCATACAAGTCAAAAATTTCCCGCCAAACGCATTTAAACCTTAAGATTTAAAGTTCTTGGAATTTGACTAAATTTTAACAAACAATCAAATTCTTTTAGTGGGAAAAGGTGGTTGAGTCTCTGTTTAAACCCTTGAATTGTGAAATTTTTTATCTCAATTTATTTGTCATTAAATTATTTACTGTTAGTGGCGTTATTTTGAATTCAAGAATTAAATCATCACTGGAGAGGGTCTTTAATTACTTTCACCTGTCCACAAACTTTCTTGATTTTCAGCTATCTCTTGTCTGTAAGAATTGCATAAAAAATATAAATTAATCTTTTCGAGGATGTAAGACTGTGATTCTCCTTTAAAATTAGCGGAGAAAAGTTGGCAAAAAAATAATAATGTGGTTTTCGGGAATTGTTTTGTTTTAAAATTGATCTTCAGCTGAGATGGAAAAGTAATATTTTTGCAAGTAGGAAAGCGAATATCCATCCACGTTACAAATTTAGCAATTGTACAGCTACGCGCAACCGAGACGGAAAAAGTGGACGTATTAGTTTTAAAGGCAGTTACTGGAAAAATGAACTCTTGACGATTGGAGCGGGTGTGTTCAGATCTTGCGGAAATCAAATATGTGTGAAAATGGAAGGAAATAAGAACTTTGCGAAAAAATTAAATGTTGAACTTCTCTCGAGTGTGTACTAAACAAATTTAACAATAAAATATGTCTACCGATGGAGGTTTAAAGAAAGCGTTGTTATGTGATATATTGATAAATTAAGCTACGAATATAACAAGCATAATATATCCCTTGAGTGTATCTGTTGCACAAACGTGGATCGAAGCAAAAGTGAGTTGGCTAGAGTTGAGAGTGATTCGCTATGAGAAGAGAAAGTCACTTTTTTGAAAATATGTGTAGATCATTAAGTACAGATGAATTAGTGTGGAAAAATAAGTAAATAATTGAATTCTGATGCATGAAAACGGTGGTGTATAAGTGGAAAATAATAATTGTTTATAAAATTTCAGTAATAAAAATGTTTTCACGAAATAAAAAGCGTTATTTCAATTCGAACCATCATTTTTTTAATCAACGACTGACAATTTTAACAGAATTTATAATCTGCACTTTTGTGATTTGCATATAAATATATAAATAAAAATTTCCAACTTGTCACAGTCAAAATCGACATATATATTATAAAAAATTGGCAGAGCATGACAGAAAATTTACACTTTTGCCGCTTTTTTTTACACTTCTCTGCTGGGATTACACGCGTCGGTGGTGATTTGGCGTCGCCGTTGGACATCATTTAATGCAGTGGAAATGTAATTTCAATCCATCATGACGCGAATCCGAGCGTGTAATTCTTTCGCATCCGTTGCTGGTGCGGGGTGACACATGAAAAACTGTCAAACGATCCGCCGAGCTGGCTCGGCGCAAAGCCACGACTGTTTTCCGCCGCCGAAACAATTGAATTGTATAAAAAAAGGGAACACTAAGCCCAAGATTTTATTGCTCTCGTTGCTAATTTACTGCTTTTTTATTTGGCTTGTTAAGGGCCTTCCTTTTAGCTCGCGTAATTACAACTTCTCTCTTTTTTTCTGCGCATCCCTCGAGATCTCAATTACGTGCACCGGCCTATTACTTTTGCAAAGGAATTTATATATCTGTTGGTTGCGGCCTTTATATTCCATCTCCCCGCAGACGGACTTGCGAAATCAAGCAAATGAGCCTCATCTTGAGCTGGAGAGGAGATTTCCATTCGGAGGAAAATGAGCGACGTCGGTTTGATAAGAGGATTTCCGCAGGGACATAATAATTGAAAGCCGGAGAGCCAAGGAGATTACTTTTTGCACACTGCGGTGGGTTTTTGCACAATGGTAACAATGGTATTGGACCGCGGATTTTGCATTTCCACCTGAGCAGTTCAAATTGACGCTCCTCAATTATTTGAGTTCTTTCGGAAGGAAAAACGAAAAGATACTTATTGAGACGGGATATGTGTATTTAAATAAGAAAAGAGGCAACTATTTTAAAATTATTGTATATGTTGCTTTATTTCTTGAATTTAAAATTCGGCCGCTTCTCGATGGGTTTTATAGAACAATTTAAAAAAGACTTTAAAAATCCTCTCAAGGAAAAGCATAATTTAAAATAAAGGAAAAAAAACAGCCATTTTGAAATTACTCTACACAGTTTATAATTTTTCAAATCCAAAAATTGTTCCATTTTTTAAGAGATGTGCAAGCGACGAGGCAAGGAAAATTCCGCCCGGAAATACAATACAGTTAAATAGAAATGAATTGGAATATCTGTCCATAAAATTATTATTAAAATAATTTATCTTCAATATTTATCAACATAATGGCGCTTTACTCTAGAATTTATGTAATCTAAACCATTTTTAATTTTGTAAGCAATAAACAAAGAAATACAAAGTTTTATACAATATTTATAAATGAATTAATTAAATAGTAACCAGAAAGTTCCATCAGTAAGTATTTCAGAGGATTATAATTTCAAACTTTAATCTAAAAGAATTAATTTTTTTGTGTAATTAGTATTTAAATTTTTGTTTGTTTGTTTTATTTGTATGTGGAATTAGCTGATTTTCAGAACTCTCTCCATGGAGGATTAAGTTTCTCTTTTCTCCATTTCCGTCGTGATTGAAACAGGAGTCAAAAATCCCACTTGAGACCCATTGTAGACTGTTGAGAACTGCTTTTTCTGCGTCACGGCACTTTTGGACGCGACGCGAGAGACAACTGCAAAATAGAGAGACTCACCTGCGCCGTTCCAACGAAAGCCTTGGTGAAAAGGGTTGACAAGTGTAGGCCCTTCCGGCGAGACAACGCACGGCCCTGAAAATAAGTGACAGGCAGCAGGAAGGAAGGTGTTCACGAATCAGCACCGAAAATTGATTCTTTTGTGCGGCCAGCAACAATGGGTGCAGGTTTTGAATACACGTGTGTGATTAGCGAGCGAACGACGGCGTGGTTTGCTTTGTGCACGACGCGCTGTCAGAATTCTGCGCTAATTTGCGATAATTTGCCCGTGCGACAGCTGAAACCATGACACATGGAATTGTGAATTTTGTCAACGGGAGGAGAATTTTGCGGTTCACAGTGAATTTTCATTACTGCCGACACTTATTGTTAGTTTTCACGTACATAAAATAGAGCCGAATATAAATGGTAAATTTAAAAAAAAAAATTAAATTGTGAAAAAAATGACTTGCACGTTTTTGCTTAATTTATGATGCGGTTTTCTGATACAATTTGCTAAATCCACAAAGATGCATTTGAAAAAATGAACTTTTATTAAGTGTACAATTTTATTTAAAATTTTTATTAAAAATAAAATTTAGTCTGTTTTTGATAATATTACTTAAAAATTTTTACTATAATGTGAGAAATATAATTTATTATATTTAATTTTTATATTTTTTTTGCGCATTTTACGTCAGTTTTTATTCTGTTTTTATTAAAAATTTTGGTAATCTCTCTTCTAATTTTACCAATTTTAAAACTTTTATAAAACGTAAATAATATTATATGCGTTCTTTAATGTGTTATGAATGTATAAATTAATATAATTATTAATTAATCCTCTGAGTTTGCAACTTTTAAAGCGAGAAAAGTTGATTTTTTTCCATTAATGATATTTTTAAAAAACAATTCATTCAGCTTGAACCTGAACGAATGAACTTTTAATTTATTTAATGCTCCAGCCATCAAAATTTTATCAGCAAAAATTTAAAAATTCGATTGTCGGTTCCTGCAAGTTATCATTCGGCATAAAAGTGATTTCAAAACACTGTTTTGATATTAAACGGAAATTCTCATTTACAATTCAATTCAACAAACTTATTGAACATAATTTGGATTAATTTTTGCAATTTATTTTGAAACGGAGAATGTTGCAGATCAGGATCGCCATGCACATGACCATAGGCGTCGTTGTTGCAATCAGTGAGCAGCATGCAACGGCTATTTGGCAAATTTATGGAGCAGAACACCGGAATACGCTCTTCATTCGGCACCCCACGCCGAGTAATTCTAATTATTTACCCTCGTGTTCGGCGCTGTTTGCCGTTTAATGGCAACTAGCGAATTTTCGCCGGCTGCACATTCGGGGAATAAATGCAACGGTGGTGGTTGTGATTTAGTAAGTGTGCGCGGAAACCGACGAGCGCTGGACCGATTAGAACAAACAGGGTAGGTACAACCCCCACCGAAACCACCCCTCCCTATAATGAAAAAGAAAAACAACGTGCATCTGCGGGTGGAAAATCGGAAGTTGAGTGCGGCGCCGAATGTGGTCTCGGTCACTCTTGAGAGGCCTCGCTCGGTAATAAAAGGGAGGACAAATTGCGACTGCTGGGTACATAAAGGCGATGATGAGGGGCTGATTGGAATTCTGCGGCACGCAATGAATGGATGTGCGGCTTCTTTTCGGGCCAATTTCGCCGAGGAAATTGCCTTTTGTCTTCGGTGGAAGTGCGCGGGAAACGACCCGACGCTTTACTAGGCTCCACGAAAATATGAAAATTGATGACCCGACTCAAAAGAAGGTTACAGAAGTAATAGAAGAATATGTTTAAAGGCAACTGGGGAAAAAATGTGTACCTTTTGTTAACATATTTTAATAGTTATTATTTGTAAATTCTGCTTAAAAAAATAGAATTAGAATTAACATAGAAATTTTTTTTTGACGGGCATTACAAAAAATTACCCAAAAATAGAAAAGATTTATTAAGGAAATTTAAAAGCTGCTTTTTATTATAAGATTTGCATTTGCGATAAAAATTTTAGTCCTGAATAATTTAATGTTTGCCAAAATGGAATTCATTGGCTCTTTTTTTTATCTCTTTTGGAAAGTTACATTGAAATACTGAAAAAGAAATTCAATATAAATTTTTATTATTATTAATTTTTTTATAATTGAGAAATGTAATTTTCTTATACTAGACGAAGGGATCTTTTAAGTTTCTTTTGAACAATTATATTTTTTGAACAGCATTAATGATTTTGACCACAGTGTAATTAAAAACATAAAAAAAAAACATAAAATAGTTTGTTTAATTTTTAGCTGGAATCAAAATATTTTTGATATTTTTCCTCTAAATACCACTTAATGCTTTTCAGAAATTTTATTTTTGAAATATGGAAAGGGTTATATCCAACCGCAGTGTTAATGACTCGGAGCAAAACCACGCAAAAATTATTCTCATTGCCTGTCTGGTGCACTGGTTGCTTGTCTTTTACAGCAGGGTGGGTTGTGCGCCGCAGGGTCGTTAGAGGCAAATGGAAAATTGATCCCGCCGCAAATAATGACTTAATTAGAAGCGAATTCTCTCGACTAGCGGCATCGATTGGCGGTCTCGTGTCGGATGGAGCAGGGAAGCCATGTATATGTACCGAGCGAGAGGGAAAATATAAGAAAGAAAGAAAGACACTTTCTCCCTCTCGGCGCGCAGCACAATGGCCAAATCAATGCAAGATTGCTGGTCTGACGAGCGGGAACGGCAGGAAAAACGACTGCCAGCAAACAGATAATGAGTTTCCATTCATTCATTCCCTTCAATTTCGCAGCCACTCTCGCTCGCTCTTCCCCGCTAACGACTCGTCCGCGGAGGCTGAAAAGGTGCCATCCGCGCAAAATTGCGGTTCCCTTTCGACGACATCGGGAAATTGGATCGTGCAAACTACCGCTAACTACTATCGGAAAGCAGAGTAAGTTAAAATAAGTATCTTATTTAAATTACAAAAATTATCAATAATAAAACACTACACATTTTTTAACTTTAATTTTTATGCAAAATTAACTTAGAGGTTTTTTAAAATTAATTGTACTAAAATAATTAAAAATTAATTATAACATTATATTTTTAAATAATATTTTTAATGTTTTTTTTATTTACATTGGAATTAAATGTAATTTTTTAATAATAATTAAAATATTTTGTTATAACTTTTATTCTACAAGTTATTTAAAATTATAAGACGAGTTAGTAGAATCATAATATAATAGTAGACATAAGTCTGATTATACTTGTCTAAATGGTCTCATTTTGATTTTACATCAGATTAATCAATTGGTATTTTAATTCACATTCATAAAAATTTTGAGGAGATCAATGTACAAAATATCCTATTAAAACTTGTTCAGTGAAGAAAATGAGCTTGCGAGAAGCCGCAACTTCTCAAAAGAGTTTAGAAGAAGAAAATGTATCATTATTGCATATCTTAATAAATGTTGTACACCTACGGTGTTTAATAAATACTTCATTCATAATTAGCAAAAAAGAAATGGAAACGTCTCGCAACAACTAAAAACTAAAGGAACTAAAAGAATCATTTTTTAGACAGAAAATTCAAGGTTTTAAAAAACTATTTGTGAATTTATGCACTTTTGCAGTTGGTACCAAAATTGCCAGAGGTGTGTGATCCACCAACATGCTATTCTCCATAACCGGGCTAACGATTTGGAACCACAAAATCGGCGGCATCGTGAAAATCTTTTGGAAAATAGCGTTTGAACATTAAAAATCGCGTCTTTGCTAGTGTTTCTTGATAAATAAAGCTAACAATTTTAAGAGTCTACATTTCTACAATAAATATTATAAGTATTTTTTGCCACGGTAATATAATTGCAATATCCGGTTTCAATTAAGCCAGCAAATATGATGTTGCTCTAGATTGGTAATGCATCGTGCGCTGCTTTCTACTGGAGATGATAGTTCTGCACTGGCCGTGTGTGTTTGAATCAAAACTCATTAATAATAATTACGTTCAGCGCGTCCCAAACTCAATTTGCATGCATGCAGCGCCTCCTCGATGGGTGTAGCGCGGCCCATCCATCTATTTGCACCCCTAGATAGAGTGAATAGCTTTATGGGTGCCGCCGTTAATAATCGCTGCGGACGCCTCTATCACAATCGCACTGCACGCATTTCGATATTCGTATGCAAGGGACTGCGCCGCATTGAATTTAGCATTGCGCCGGTGAGGGAGATGCACACCTCGCTGAATATGTTTGTGTCCGCCAATTAACCATGGCTCTGCCTGAGAGTGGTCCAGCTGCTGCACCTGCTTTGATGGATGCCGCCTTTGAGGATTTGCACCATTTCGACGACAAGTTAATCAAATCGCATCACTTCGCCTCTAGCTGGTGATTCATGTTTTTACCATTCAATTGCATTGCATGGCAATTAAAATTTATTATTTAGTTAATGAATTTCTAGAATCAAACCAATAAGCTGCTAATAATTCAAAGAATTTAGTAAAAAAAATTTAAATTGATGAAAAATCGCCTCCTGATATCAAAGAAAGTTTTTATTTAAAAATAAATATAAAAAAACACATATCCTTCATTATCTTTCTGTGCCAGCTCGAGAAATTATATTATCAAGTTTTTTTGCTTTAATTTTGTTTTCCTCTATTCATTGAACACTAAAATACAAACAAGAGCTCGATTTAATTAAATATAATTAATTTAAATCTATTTATTAACAATTATTGATCATAATTCTCTATTGATTTTTTTAATACATTTTAGACAGTAAAAAATTTATATATTTTATTTTCAATTAATTGTGGAAATTTTATTTGCAAAGAGATTTGATATTTTTCCACTTGAATTAAGAACCAATTTTAAAATGTTAATATCAAATCAAATAGAATTATATTAGTGTGCAGGTGGTTTGAACTATGAAAATATAAATATAATGTCACATTTCGATGTTGACTCTTTTTCACTGACTTATTGTACAAATTTTGTAATTTTCACTTTAATTGGTTATGAAACTTGTTGATTCGCAAAAGAAATAGCGATAACATGTAAAAACAATCCGGAGAGAATTTTGCATTTAGTAGCAATATATTTTAATTAACAGGCTCAATTTTGAAAAAATACACTAAATCTATTTCATTATTTGTCACTCAAGACACAAATTAATTTTGGAAACTTTTAATCCATCTACCACTGTGGGATAAATGTGATAGTGGAATTCTAAAAAATTATTTAATATACTATGATATTTTGAGTCAATTTTCAGTTGTGAAGAAAATCAAATTTTTTCCTGAATGGAAAATGAATAAAATCAGGCAAATATTCACTGTTATTGAAAAGGCAAGGAATATTATGTTGCTGCTGGCACGAAATGCGATGTATGGCGTGGTGATGACGGCCATGCATCCTGTGGGGAAGCGTTTCCCGCTGATATTTTAAACTCTCGTAACTACAGAAAATTTGTTAAAATGGCCAAATCTTCACCATAAATTATTGTTTTCAAACAGAAGTTAAAGCCAAAATATAAATTTAATTTGTAACGGAGTAAATCGCAAAAAAAATTTATTGCAAATTTAAAACAAAACACTTAAATCTGATTGCATTCTTTCTTTGTTTTAAATCATCAAGGGCAAGACGGAAGAATGCAGTCGTTGTAGCCTCTGAGAATTTCATTAATTGTCCGCAGGAAAGGCGCAGGACCACATCCTAGTTCGTTGAAGATGTCATCAGCAAAAGTCGCCATAATTTGCACTCCTCCAAGTCGGAGTTTTTGTACAAGTTCCATCTGCACCAAATTTCTTAAATTTAAAAAGAAGGAAACTCTCAAGTATTTTTACACGATATTTAATTGCATTAATATCATCGAACGATGTCCATTTGTCGCCGTTGCAGGCAAACGTTTGTGATTCATTTGTGCCTTTCGTTATCACCCAGTTGTTTTTTTCGGTCACATAAATCCTCCGCATGATCTGAATTTTCAATCTCAAAAATTAATTGGCCTGTAAAGAGGTAATATTTGTTTCCAAATGAGGGGAATAATCAGGGCATTAATTAGCTATTTTTTTATATTATTAAATATTTTTTCTATTCTGAAAAGTCCAGGACTCCAATTCTCATTTCTTTTTTTTTCTAATAGAAGCAACTTACTTTTATAAAAATCTAAGAAACTTACCTCAATCCAGCAAGTGAAATCCTTCTTTTCACCGATGATATTACTCCCTATTTTTGCTTCCTTATTTCTGTACAGTTTGAAATTCATCAAATCTCCACCATTCATTCTAAAAACAGTTTACGGATTTGCTAAGGTCAGCACTTCAACTTCCGGCTTAAATGCCAAAATAATTTTGCCAGGATCATCTACTTGACTTTTAAACATCTCCAAAGTGGATTTCTATAATTAAAATTAATAAATTATTATATCAGTTTTTTTTTATTTATTTTTTTTTTTTTACGAACCACTTCTTTGCTTGGCGTGATTAATCCAGTGGTAATGTACGATCCAGTTTGATAGTTCGTAGCATAAATTAAAATATAATCAAGTGCCGCCGCCACCTTGGGAATATCGATTCCTGTATTTAACAAAAATTGAAATTTGATTTCAACAGCATAGACGAAATTTGCCTGTGTTTATAATTGATTTAATTGCTGTGCACTCATATGTGACCAACAAGCCATCGGGCTTTAGAGCCGATGCGAAACTCTTCAGCAATGTGACAAAATTCACTTTGTCTTGCAAAAATCCATCTTGCGCACCCTGTGATCTCAATTAAACAAGATATTTCTCTACCAAAGTTAGCTACATATGGGCTGCCTGGATGAGTCCACCGAAAATTGATACCGTCGAAATTGTAATTTTTAACAATCGTAACCAATTCTTTTACAAATGCATTTCTAACATTATTTTCATTTCTGGCAACGCTTGAAAACATCTTTGGTGACATTGTTAAGGGATAAACATTCCACCAGTCTCCTAAAAGTTTCATTTTTGTTAACATTTTATTAAAAATTGTTTTTGTCACCTAGGGTAATTAGAACTTTCAATCGCGCCTTTTGAAAAGTCTTAAGATGTTGCTTCATTTCTGTAACAAAATTTCTTGTGTAACTGTAATGCAAAATTCCATTGCAAACGGACCTGCGAATTGATCCTCCATTAATACAACCTTTTTCTGGCTTTCATCATATTTAACAACTGGAAACATCAAAATGTGGGTGCAGAAATTCGATTCTGCAATCCACTTTGACCGATTCTTTAGTTTTGTGTTGACAAAACCGTCTTGGCTAAAAATTTTAACGTGACTTAACTCTATAAAATAATTATGTTTGAAAAACAAATCATCTTACAAAAACGGGTCAAAATTACAAAACACTTTTTTGTCCGATCTCCAGTTTGGAATGAATTGGCCTTCGCATTTTTGAGCAGCAACTGCAAAATAAAAAGTTAAAAATATTCAGAAATAAAATATGGATAAACAAGAACCAGACCACTCAGAGTTTCTGGGGTATATTTGCAGCTTTTGCTGTTCAAGGTGTCGTTAATCAGACCGAGACATTGCGCGAGGCAATATTTAACTGAACTGGTTGTTAATTTAGTCACGGAATCATCAGAACCACTTCCAACGCATTTGCGCCACTCAACCGAAGAAGAAGAGGTTTGAATTGTCTTAAAAGTTCAATCAAATAAGAGAAACATCTCATATAATAAATTATTTTACTCACTTGATGCAACGTAAAGATTACTAATAAAATTTTCACAATTTGATACAAACAGCTGAATTTGCAGACACACAGCAGCTCTGGCATTTCAATGAACACAGGAAAAGCGGCGTTGGAAATATTTATTTCCGATGTTGAACATCGACTGGATGCATTTTCTGACGTGAAAAATATGGAACAGGAAAACGCCAAATTTTCAACCATTGCTACCACATTGTACGACGACTGAATAATGTGTATATAGAAAATGTGTATCTGATTTGTTTCAAATTAACTGTCTGGATTTATGGAATTTATTGTTTTTTGAATTAAATTAATCTGTTTAAATTTATATAGTTAATTAAACATATTTAAATTACAAAAGTCGCGTTGCAAATTATATTCCGGATGCAAAATGTGGAACACAGTCTGAATGCGGGTAACCAACATTCTCTATATTGAGCGAATTAAAGTGAAATTATTTTTTTCATATAAAACTACCAATTATAATATTCTCAACCATTTAAGGACTCCTTATTGACATAGTCAAATCAAGTCTTTACAACAATGGTTTGTTATATTCCCAATAATTGCCCAAAATCGCTTCTATTGTTGTAAAGACTTGATTTGACTATGTCAATAAGGAGTTCTTAACACGCATGTATGAATTAAAATAATAATTAAATTTAATGTTAAAATGAGATTTAATATAACAAATAATTGCCTTCTTTAAATGAGCGCCAAAAAATGAATATCAATCACAAAATTTTGGTATAAAAATATCCACTTTATCTGTTATACTGATTTTTTATATATATAATCTTTGCTGCCAGCAGCGCTGGCAGATTGGGCTAGCACGGCGGCCCACGGACACCCTCATGGGCCCACAGCTTATTATGCTCAATGCCATAAAATAAATCCATCCACACGTTACCAATAATGAATGCTGAAAATTTATAGTAAAAGAAGAAACACATTCACATATTTTTCGCAAGAGAAATTGAAAAAATAATGTATTTATTTGAGTAAAAGAGAGCGAGCTGAGTAATTTGTGGCAATGGGAAGCGCAGAATACCTTTGGCCATTTCCGGCTTTCAGTGAGCAGGGTGCAGTGGTCCACGGAAATGGTGTATTATCACATGCATGCTACGTAAGGGTACATAAATCCTGGTTTTCTTTCCAGAAACTCGTTGGGTTTGTAAGGGCGCGATCATAATTTGCGGACCGAAAAGGAGGAGCTGAAGCGCGCCACTTTTTGTTCTCGCAAGTTTCCGGCCGGCGTCAGCTTTATTGGAGAAATAAAGTATGTTGTGGGTAATGTAAAAGCATTCGCCACTCTAATTTATTTGCCTACCTGCGCTTTTCTTGTGTGCGGTCGGGGATCTCTTCCTCTCTCTCGCGCGTCTTCCTGCTCCTTTCGTGCTTCATGCTCGTGTGGACGCCAACACAGAACCGAGAGAAGGGAAGTTGCAGAAAATAAACGGGACTTTCTGTGCGTGTGTGTTTTCCACTTTTATGGTTCATATGGTGCACCCTACAAGCATAACTCTCTGTGTCATTAATTCATTCACAAATGAGTTCTGTTAGAATTGTTGTAATAATTGCAAAACTTATAATTCGAGAAATAATTAAAAATTCAACTCACTGATTGTGAAATCTAAAATATGAATTGATTTCATTGAATTATAAAAATTAAATTAATTGGAATATTAAATCAATAGCCCATAAAAATGTATTTCTGGTTTTTTTTACATCAAAATTCAGTATTTTTCTGAAGGAAAAACAGTTCTTAGAAGCTTAACATAGCTGCAAAAACTAATTTAATTGGTGAAAAGGGCGAACCTCGATGCGAAGTAAAAAATGAAAAAAAAAGGACAACGCACCCCAAAATTCGCCTTTCATTATTTCTTTGCAACGAGGTTCACCCGATTTCAATTTTTCATGAAATCCACCTTGAGTGTTACTATTCAATTTAATTGGTGTTCAAAGATATTATAAAAATGTATTGTTGATACTTTTGGCCCGTACAACTTTATTTAATAAAATTATTTCTTTATCACAGAATGTACGATTCAAACAATTTACCAAGCGATTGCACAAATCTCAATAAGCCAGTTTAGAATGTAGTGAGTGAAAGTAAAGTAAATTTACATTTTATATTTTTACTTTTCAGATTTTGATTTGTAAAATTAGAAATTATTTAAATTAAAAAAATCAATAGAATTACATAACTTTTTTCATCTTTTAATTTTGACGGCTAACTTCAACAAAATATAATATTTGTTGACAAATTACAATGAAAAGAACTAAAAATGTATAATCAGAAAAATCATTAATTTTTCATCATTCTCCAAACGAATGGAGTCTTTTTTTTAAATACTTAATTCACAAGCCTATTTCGTCCTTGATGAGAAGTTACAAATTGAATAAATCATTTAATAAATTTTATAAAATACAAATGAGTGAATCGTTTCTCAGCTTCTTCTGTGGGCATAAAATAAAACCATTTTCCGAGGTGAAATTTCCAGCACCGTCAATTTTTCCTTTCCCCGCAGCAATTTGGCCGCTCTCGTCGTCGTGGGGTTGAATTTAGGGCGATCGGACGCGAAACCTGACGCGCTGCCGGGTGCGGAGACAATCAGCAGGCGGCGTGCAGCAGTTGACGCGTGATTTTTAATAAACGACCTGATGAGCAGTCGGTTCTGCAGGCACTTTTTGATGATGTGCAGTCAGCGTTTAGCCGAGTGACTTATGGCCGGGAGCGAGAATTCATTATTCACGCCGCCGCTGACAGATATGATGAGGGTGCCGAGCGCTCTCGCTCTGATCAATATCAAATTAGGCAAAACAAAAAGCGCTGCGCTCTCAAAAAAGTCTGGCGCACACGACTCCTCTTTGTCACTTCGAAAGAGCGCCATTATTTGTCACTTTTACTTGCATAAAGGCGACTCCAAAGAAGTTCTGATCCAACGGAAATTAAATGACGACCAGCTGGGAATTTTTAAGTTCTAAATAATTAATAGTGCGAACATTATGAATTGTGGAAATGAATATTCAGCAGCTCTGAAGAGGCTGTGAGCAATTCTAAAACAAAATTTCTTCACATTATCTTCATAAACAAGAGTGTTGCAAATTATTTATAAAATTTTAAGGTGACGCGGAAAAAAATTAAAATTAAGCAAATGTTGAAAAATTAAAAAAAAAACTGCTTTTTATTTATTCAATCATGTAATATAACATTTGTTATTTATTAAAATTATAAAAAAGTGTAATATTTAAAATGTTTTAATTGTTGTTACAGCTAGAAAAACTATGTAAAAATTAAAAGAATAATAATACTAGTTTAATAAAAATTTCAAACTTTTTTCATGACTTACTACAACGTAAACAAATTTAGTATCCCAATGACATAGATTAATTGCCAAGAAGTATTTTACATCATAATATTTTAAATTTACTATGGTACACTGCACGTTATGAAGCTTCCAAAGAAATTATGACATTCAAGCATGCATTTGAGGCAAACTTTCCCTAGCTGCACGCATTTATTGCAATTACGGTGACACTGACGGATGAGGATTTAAAACTTCCTTTGTCAAGAACGTCTAATTCCGGCACCGCAATTTCTCCCCTTCGGACAAAAGAGAGAAAGAGGCGATAATATGCAGCACTTTGCAGCCAGTGCGCCGCTTAATTCGTTTCGTCTGGCGGCGCCGCGAGAGCACTTAATTTGATGAAGAAACGCAAAAAACGCGCGCAGACAAAAAAAGTTGCATTTTCATTGTTTGGCCGATGCAAAATGACGCCGGGTCTGGAAAAGACGCGGCGGGGTTTTGTTGCCGCTCGAGTGAAAAATGCGATGGGGGAGTCGCTGCGAAATATGAAGAGAGAGAACTCGAATGGAGCATTATTTGTGTAAAAGTGAGCGCCGCGCGGCGTTGCTGCTGGAAGAGTGATTAAATGCACGGCGTGTAGCAAAATTCAATTACAAGTCTCGATAGCATCAACCGCCACAGCCGCCACGCGATATTAAATTATGCATGCCGGCAGAAGAAGATTAAAAGGATGCCGACACCAAATTAAAAACGCATTATTCCGCGCCCCCAGGACGTACTTAAGAGCGAAGCATGTTCTCCTGATTTCATTTCGACGAGCTTTTATCAGTCTTGATGTGCTTCCTCGAAAATGTAGCGGAAAATGTAAACCGCAGACTTGCTGAACATCAGAAATTATATGAAGCTGAATTATTTGCAAGTGAAACTTTCACATTTTGATCGGCTGAGTTTTAATTAATTGAAAAACCTACACAATTCATTAAAATACATAAATTGTAAGCAAAGAATGCAAAACTTTTCATTAGAAAATCAGTTCACGTTTTCTGGTTAAAATACTAGAGAAAATCTTTTTATCATCTTTTAAATTTTTGTTACAAACGTACTCCACCGAAAATACACTAAAAGTATTAATATTATTGCAGGAACTAATTTCCATGGACATGCCTGCAGCGTGCAAAATTAAATAATAACAGGAATATAAATATATTTTGAATGTAATCTATTTATTATTTATTTTTACTTCAAGCTCCGCCTTTGAAATTTAGCAAAATACCGGCGATTCCTTTCTCAAGTAATGAAAATAAACAAATAATTATCCAAAATCAAAGATGGAAGTCGGATTAATTTATTAATGAATTTATTTCCTAGCCGTAAAGTAATTAAAGTTGATTGCATCTATAATTTGAGTAATGTTAGTGGAGCGAAGTGCACTCATCGTGTTCTGAAATTTCCATGGAAACGTGTGCTTTGTGCTACCGTGTCTGATTATTTTGCCAAAGCAAGCACTTTCAGAGAGGATAGAGCGAGCTGCATCCTTGTTAGTTTGCCAGGCAGTGCAAACTGCAAATGCTTGTAGACAGAGTAAACGAGCTCGGTTTTTTTTGTATCCTTGCTTGTGAAAGAGCCG